GAGTGAACCTGTACCAGATACAGTTAATACACTGTTATATACAATTCTTGTCCATTTTGATGGAAGGAAGAAAATATGCAGATAAAATTCAAGAACAATTAATTAATTTAAAATGTCCAACTTTATCCCATTTCAAATGGTATAAAGATACTTTTTTCTCAAAAATTTATCAAAGAACTGATGGACATCAAGAATTCTGGAAAGAAAAATTTCTTTCTGGACTTCCTTATTTCTTTGCTGAATGAATTTAAAATCGTCTTAAAAACAACAATAATGGAAAAATTCCTTATGATACCTTAACTTATGGAGATTTAGCCTCCGAAGTTATTAAAGAAGGTATTACTTTATGCAAGGAAATAAAATTGCAAAAACAAATTCAAAATGAAAAATATTCGGGTAAAAAGGCTCTTGGTGATTTTTGTCAACAAATGGGTTTTGAAAAACACAGTTTTCAAAAATCCACTAAACCCAAGAAAAGAAAATATTTTAAACAACAAATGGGTTTTGAAAAACCAAGTTTTCAAAAATCAACTAAACCCAAGAAAAGAAAATATTTTAAAGAATATTTATCCAAGAAAAGAAATAAAACCTATTCTAAATCTAAAAAATTTCCTAAAAAGGAAAAGAAATTACCAGTATGCTGGAAATGTAAAAAATTGGGTCACTACGCTAATAAGTGTACTACCCAGAAAAAGATTAATAATCTTAACATTGATGAAGGTCTAAAAAGATCTCTCTTAAAAGCAGTAATATCTGATTCTGATTTTGAAAATGAAGAAATATTTGTATCTGTCATTAATGAGAAAATTCTAATGATTTTTCTGAAAGTGAAACTTCCTCATCAGATGATGAAGATCAAATTATGTCTTCATRTGATGGTCAATGTAACCAATATATGGCTTTATGCCAAATGAATGGTTTATGTGTTTTAACCCAACAAGAAAATTTTATTTTTGATATCATTGATAAAATCAATGATAAAGAAGAAAAAGAAAAATTTCTTATGGAATATTTAAAACAACTTAGAAATAATATATCTAGTAATATTCCTGAAAAACGTGTACCAAATTATGATTTAAAAGAAATCATAAACAGGGTTAATAATCCAATTTCAGTAACTCAAGAAGTTACTAGATTTATTAAAAACTAAAATTTCATATTTAAAAGTTAGAATGTTAATTTTAGAACAAACTAATGTTCTTCAGAACATTAATATATCTTCTCCTAATAGGAAACCTGAGGTTGGAGAACCCTCTTTTTCAAAAGATGATTTTCYACCTTTATCTGCAAGTGTTAATATTAATCTTCTTGATAGGGTTATTACTCATAAATGGTATATCAAGATTACTTTAATCGTTAATAAATAATTTATTCTTGATACCATTGCTATGGTCGATTCAGGTGCATATTTAAATTGCATAAATGAAGGACTTGTACCTTCAAAATACTTTTCTAAAACAAAAGAAGCTTTGAATACTGCAGATAATACCAATTTAAAAGTAAARTTTAAATTATCTGATTCGGTTATCTGCAATAAAGGAATTTGTTTTCAAATGCCTTTTATAATGGTTAAAAACCTATCGCATAAAATTATATTGGGGAATCCATTTCTACATATGTTATACCCTATTCAACGAATAGATGAAAAAGGAATTCTCAGTAATATTTCTGGCAACGAAGTTCTTTTTGAGTTTATTACAACTCCGCAATAACATGAAATTGATATTGTAAAAAATCATTTACAATCCAAAGAATTATTTCTCAATTCTTTGACAAATGATATTAAATTTCAAAAAATTGAAGAAGCTTTATTAACTCCAAAATCTTCAAGAAAAAGTTCTTCTTTACAAAAGGAAATTGAAACCGATATATGTGCAGATATTCCTAATGCTTTCTGGGAACGTAAGAAACATATTGTTTCATTACCTTATGAACCTGATTTTAAGGAATCTCAAATTTCTACAAAGGCTAGACCTATTGCAATGAGTCCAGAATATCTGGAATTATGTAAAAAAGAAATTCAAGATTTACTTGATGAAAAATTAATCCGTTCGTCTTTTAGCCTGTAACACCACGAATACAAAACAAACACTTACCAACCTTCATTAAATATATTTTAGTTTCAAAAACCTCAAGATACGGGATAGCGATTTACAACCCAAAATACATAATTTTAAGACTTAATAAATACATAGCTAACAAAAACATAATCATCGGGGACATGTCTACCCGGAATATACATACTATGAACAACCCAAAAGTATAACTTATACCTAAACTCAAAAGTAGGATTTACACATCAGTCCCTAATCAATCATCCGACCTTGTTTTTGCCTTTGCCAATTTGCCCTGAAAAGTTAAAACCACTAAAAGATAAGCTATATGGCTTAGTGAATTTATGTGGAAAAATGTGGTTACAATGTGTTATATAAGTGTACATACTACGAAATAAAGAAGGTCTCGAAAGAAATTTTGCATAACAACACGACAACAACTTAGTTGTACCATATGATGTCATTTACAACAATCTACTTTGAACGTAGGAATCACAAAAGAATGTTCAACATAGAAAAAGATTATCAATATAATCAACATCATCCTCAAGATCAAGCAAGGTCACATACCAATTAACTTCACACACAAACATAAGACTTGGCACCAAATCTGCTCTTCTTCTTCCGGATTATGCCAAAGTCCTATACTCACCCCTGGCTCCCACTGGGCAGTGAGTATGGCAGCCCCTCCGGTTGTCTCACCCGGACTCCATGGGATATCGACAATCGGCGCCCAAAACACACCACAAAACAATACAAGCAATAAGACCAATTCGAGGTGATAATCTAGAACTAACATGAA